GTCCCACACCCACCAACACCACAGGACAGTCTCTACTGGACCGCCCTTGTGAATAAGTCCCACACCCACCAACACCACAGGACAGTCTCTACTGGACCGCCCTTGTGAATAAGTCCCACACCCACCAACACCACAGGACAGTCTCTACTGGACCGCCCTTGTGAATAAGTCCCACACCCACCAACACCACAGGACAGTCTCTACTGGACCGCCCTTGTGAATAAGTCCCACACCCACCAACACCACAGGACAGTCTCTACTGGACCGCCCTTGTGAATAAGTCCCACACCCACCAACACCACAGGACAGTCTCTACTGGACCGCCCTTGTGAATAAGTCCCACACCCACCAACACCACAGGACAGTCTCTACTGGACCGCCCTTGTGAATAAGCCCCACACCCACCAACAACACAGGACAGTCTCTACAGGACCGCCCTTGTGAATAAGTCCCCCCAACAACATAGGACAGTCTCTACTGGAGCGCCCTTGTGAATAAGTCCCACCAACAACATAGGGCAGTCTCTACTGGACCACCCTTGTGAATAAGCCCCACAAACCCACCAACAACACAGGACAGTCTCTACTGGACCACCCTTGTGAATAAGCCCCACACCCACCAACAACATAGGACAGTCTCTACAGGGCCGCCATTGTGAATAAGTCCCACCAACAACATAGGACAGTCTCTACTGGACCGCCCTTGTGAATAAGCCCCACACCCACCAACAACATAGGACAGTCTCTACTGGACCGCCCTTGTGAATAAGCCCCACACCCACCAACAACATAGGACAGTCTCTACAGGACCGCCCTTGTGAATAAGTCCCCCCAACAACATAGGACAGTCTCTACTGGAGCGCCCTTGTGAATAAGTCCCACCAACAACATAGGGCAGTCTCTACTGGACCACCCTTGTGAATAAGCCCCACAAACCCACCAACAACACAGGACAGTCTCTACTGGACCACCCTTGTGAATAAGCCCCACACCCACCAACAACATAGGACAGTCTCTACAGGACCGCCCTTGTGAATAAGTCCCACACACCCACCAACAACACAGGACAGTCTCTACTGGACCACCCTTGTGAATAAGCCCCACACCCACCAACAACATAGGACAGTCTCTACTGGACCGCCCTTGTGAATAAGCCCCACACCCCCCAACAACATAGGACAGTCTCTACTGGACCGCCATTGTAAATAAGACCCACCAACAACATAGGGCAGTCTCTACTGGACCACCATTGTAAATAAGACCCACCAACAACATAGGGCAGTCTCTACTGGACCGCCATTGTGAATAAGTCCCACAAACCCACCAACAACACAGGACAGCCTCTGCAGGACCGCTATTGTGAATAAGTCCCACCAACAACATAGGACAGTCTCTACAGGACCGCCCTTGTGAATAAGTCCCACAAACCCACCAACAACATAGGACAGTCTCGACTGGACCGCCATTGTGAATAAGTCCCACAAACCCACCAACAACATAGGACAGTCTCTACAGGACCGCCCTTGTGAATAAGTCCCACAAACCCACCAACAACATAGGACAGTCTTTACATACAGGACCGCCATTGTGAATAAGTCCCACACACCCACCAACAACATAGGACAGTCTCGACTGGACCGCCATTGTGAATAAGTCCCACAAACCCACCAACAACATAGGACAGTCTCTACATACAGGACCGCCATTGTGAATAAGTCCCACAAACCCACCAAAAACACAGGACAGCCTCTACAGGACCGCCATTGTGAATAAGCCCCATACAATAGCACCTCTTTAATGGGTGACTTTGTACATGGCACATGTTAGCCCCCCACAGGAAGCTTTTAGGGCCATCATCTATGGCAGACCTGGGAATTTTAGGACCCGCGGGCTGTATCTGGCCCTTGCCTGCCCCACTGGCCAGAGACAGACCAATTGCCAACCTGAGCTCGGTTATGACTGGCTGACAGCAGATGGGCCGGCCTCTGAGGCCAGTGCATTTACTGTAAGCTATAGCACCAGCACAGGTTGGCGATCGGCCCCGTCCTCTTCAGGCCTTGGATGCCAGGTACTCTAGAGTCCTAGCAACCAGTGATGTCAGGGGTCCTCCTCCTCTCCAGTCATTAGTTGCTAGGACCACTGGTGACCTAGCAACCAATGTCAGGGGTTCTCCTTCTCTGCAGTCACTGGTTGCTAGGACCACCTGGCGGTCCTAGCGACCAATGATGTCAGATGGTGTAAACAGGCCCTCACACCTACAATTAGGGTTGCCACCTGTCCAGAATTCACCTGGACAGTCCAGGTTTTAGCACATACAGGACTCAAAACCCGGACTGATTTCAACCCATTTGGATGATATGGATCCTCCAAATGGGTTGAAAATGCCTTTTGATTGGCACCGTCCACCAACTTTCCCACCCAATTCGATCATTTTGACGAGGCGGCAGGCAGGGGCGGGCGAGCAGCAACAAAATGGCCGACATTTGGTAATGATGTCGGCACGGTGCCTCAGAAATATACGTCAACAAATGCAAGTTGCCTTCACACACTGAGGAGAATTTTATAGACTTTCTCCATCAATGATCGAATTTTGGAGTGAAGAAAATGAAAATGTAAGCCGTTGCTATGGGCAACATCACTACTTTGCACAGAACAGGAGGTGACAGGACATTGATTTCCACATACAAGGAAAGGAAGGTAGACTGTAACCCTTCCCTTCTTCCTAATATGTGAGCTGTGTACTGAACGCTATATATGTATATATATATATATATTATATACACACACTGTATACCTCACTAACTGAACTGGCGGGGACAGGCACCAAACAAGGGCCCCCTCTAACAACGTCTCCTCCTCCTCCGCGCTCAGGTGTACCAAGATGGCCGCACGTCGAGCGCGCGGGGCGGAGCCAGGTTGAAATTGGGCGGGACCCAGCGTTCCTATAGGCTGAGTGGGCGGGCCTAGGATGCCGGAAGAGAGTTGAGTGAGCTGTAAGCACGTGTGACAACGGCGGTGTTGCTGTTAGCGACCATGAGAAGAGCTGCGTTGTGATTGGTTAGTATCGGGGAACCCGAACGTTATCATCTCCTTAAAGTGGAACCCCCATTTAATCTTGCTCTGGGTATTAGAGGGTACCCCCCTATCCCCTTTCCTTCCCATGCCAACTATAGTAGAGGTGTCACCCTTCATAATGGAGGCCAGCATCTCCTTCCTCCGTGCTTATAGTGGGGGGGTGCCCTAACTCTCACACCTTCCATACAGGGGGGCATTTGTACATGGCACATGTTAGCCCCCCACAGGAAGCTTTTAGGGCCATCATCTATGGCAGACCTGGGAATTTTAGGACCCGCGGGCTGTATCTGGCCCTTGCCTGCCCCACTGGCCAGAGACAGACCAATTGCCAACCTGAGCTCGGTTATGACTGGCTGACAGCAGATGGGCCGGCCTCTGAGGCCAGTGCATTTACTGTAAGCTATAGCACCAGCACAGGTTGGCGATCGGCCCCGTCCTCTTCAGGCCTTGGATGCCAGGTACTCTAGAGTCCTAGCAACCAGTGATGTCAGGGGTCCTCCTCCTCTCCAGTCATTAGTTGCTAGGACCACTGGTGACCTAGCAACCAATGTCAGGGGTTCTCCTTCTCTGCAGTCACTGGTTGCTAGGACCACCTGGCGGTCCTAGCGACCAATGATGTCAGATGGTGTAAACAGGCCCTCACACCTACAATTAGGGTTGCCACCTGTCCAGAATTCACCTGGACAGTCCAGGTTTTAGCACATACAGGACTCAAAACCCGGACTGATTTCAACCCATTTGGATGATATGGATCCTCCAAATGGGTTGAAAATGCCTTTTGATTGGCACCGTCCACCAACTTTCCCACCCAATTCGATCATTTTGACGAGGCGGCAGGCAGGGGCGGGCGAGCAGCAACAAAATGGCCGACATTTGGTAATGATGTCGGCACGGTGCCTCAGAAATATACGTCAACAAATGCAAGTTGCCTTCACACACTGAGGAGAATTTTATAGACTTTCTCCATCAATGATCGAATTTTGGAGTGAAGAAAATGAAAATGTAAGCCGTTGCTATGGGCAACATCACTACTTTGCACAGAACAGGAGGTGACAGGACATTGATTTCCACATACAAGGAAAGGAAGGTAGACTGTAACCCTTCCCTTCTTCCTAATATGTGAGCTGTGTACTGAACGCTATATATGTATATATATATATATATTATATACACACACTGTATAC